TCCTCCCTGTGGAAATAAGGAAGCCCAGCCAGATGGGAACAGACAAAGGCTATTTACTCAGAGCTTGCTATAGCAGGGAGGCAACCATTGTCATTTGTATTTTGGGAGACTCAAAAGCACATGGAGGTTGTAAAACCTGACAGTAGAAAAAGGGAGGGCTTCGGGATGTCCTGATGGGAGGCTCTTGGTGTGGGGAAGCCGCAGGTCCATTTGTCCATTTGTCCATTCAGTGTCTCATCTACAGGACTCCTACGTAGCTGTGGGAGTTGTGAAATCGCAAGGCTGCTGTCATCCTGTCTGATGCTGGAGCTTAAGTCCCCAGGTAGCTAGGAAGGGAAGATGGAGGCACAGTGGGCGAGAATCAGCTGCAACCCTCAGGACAGACCAGAACCCATATCAGTTCTCAGTGCCTCCATATGATCCTGCAGGAGAAGCTGGTGCCCTCCGTCCTGGTACTAAACACTCAGCTGGCCCAGGAATTGGAGAAGTGAAGGCCAGGGAAGGTGGACCGCTTGTAGACCCGCCAGCTGCCCACGCCGAGGACTCGGCAGATGAGTAATAATGTGTGAGCTACAAAAGCACATGCCCCAACCTTCTGAGAGTAAAAAGTAATGCCGCTGCTGCTTCACTCCTGCCCCTCAAATCTCATGCAAAAATGTCTCTTCTCCTCACTGGGACCTGAAATACACAGGAGAGGGCGTTCCCGGAAACAGCTCAGCCTGGCCCGCCTGACTGGCTAAAGAAGCTGCCATAGCAGTTGCTTGAAATGCTAGACGGGCCCCTTACAGTGAAGGCATATTTTCATACGCCACAAGGTTCACAAACTCAAATGTTAAAACTGTAATTTTTGTTATAAATAAATGTATAAAAAAGTGTATACTGAGGTACTGCTCACACACATTTAGGTGTTTAATAAAAGTGCAATCGTGATTGAGTGTGTGTGTGTGTGTGTGTGTGTGTGTGTGTGTGTGAGAGAGAGAGAGAGAGAGAGAGAGAGAGAGAGAGAGAGAGAGAGAGAGAGAGGGAACTGGTAGGAAGTGTGTGTCTCCACTGGGGCTCAGAGCCACTGCTACCCGAAGCAGAGGTGCTAGGATGTATATGTGATGAGGAACTGGATGCAGGGACTGGATCCCGCAGTGTGGGAGCTGGTTAGCCAGTCTCTGTAGGGCTGTTGTCTTAGATCTGATGCTGGAGCTCCTATAGTCACACCTGGCTTTCCCTTTTTTGCCCCTGGAGAATCTGAAGACTGACAGGTACCATTTTTCCTCCTTCTAAAAAGTAGGCTGTTTTTAACATTTTTCTCTGTTTCATATGGATCCTTTCTTGATATTTGTAACCAGTGAGCTAAAGGTGAATCTAAGTACCACAGAAGTCTATATGTGAGAGAAGGGGAGAAGGAAGACGACACAGGCTGGTGGGAGACAGTGCAGGTAGAAGCTTCATACCAATGTTTTCCAGTAGGATGAGCTACAAGCTAGGACCCAGGATCTGGGACCTAAACTGCCCTACTTATGGAAATTAATTCCTTTCATGAACTAGTCCTAAAGGACACAGAGTCCCTGGTAGAGCTCAAGAAGCTGAGGTCCCAGTGCTAACTCTGTCAATATATTGATTCAGGGAAAGTCTCTCACTCTCTTCTTTAAATTTTAATATTTTTATTAAATATTTTTTGGAGCGGAAGGGAGAGAGAGAAAGAGAGAGAGAAACACTGATGTGAAAGCAAAACAGTCATTGGCTGCCTCCTGCACACCCCCTACCCAGGTTAAGCCCAAAACCTGGGCACGTGCCCTGAATGGCAATCAAACCTTTTGGTGCATGGGTTGATGCCCAACCAACTGAGCCACACGGGCCAGGGCAGGGAAAGGCCCTTTTGGCCTCTGGAAGGCAATTCCTTCACTTCTCAAGTAAAAGGTTTTAGATACTTGAAACTTGACAGAGATGTAGTTCAATGATCACCACCATTCATGACTATCAATGGGCTATTGTAGAAGTGAAGACTGTTATCAAGTCTCCCCTTAGATGTTCTCTGCAAGGAACCTTTCCTAGGAGCCAGAATGGGCCCATGCTCTGGGCAAAAGTTAGTTCTTCTAGCTGTGCAGCATTTTATTGGTTTTTAAGAAGGGGTTTTAGACTTAAACTTACACTTAGATGCCACTCTTCTGATGTGTGGGGAGCTCACTTCAAAGCAAGGAACGGAGTCACAGGAAGACTGAATTCGGGTAGCTGTGGGGCAGCCCCATTTTCACATCTGACACTGTGGGTATGTCTTTGATCAAAATCCTCTTTCACTGTTGCACTGGGACAAGACTGGCTTTCTTCCTAACGTTCCCTGAACTAGTGGAAGTGGCCGCAGTTTGGCTTCTTAAGCATTTACATGGCCATCAGAGTGCAAGACAAGCCTGGTTTGTGTCGGATCCCTAGTAGCGAGCTCAGTGCCTAGAAGGCAGTGAGTCCTCAGTGTCTGTTTGTTGAATGACTGAGGGGTCAACAGTGGGGTGAAATGTGCCAACTGTATCAGTAATGACCACTTGATAAGCAAATCAAATACAGGCTTTAATAATTCTCAGAAGAAAGAACAGCCAAGATATCCTGAATTCATCACATTTTGTAATAATACATTTAATGACTAAAAAAGAATAGGGATTGCAAAAAATAAGAAAATACAAAGATTTGAAAAGCATCCACAATCTCACCATCTAGAGATGATTATTCTTCACATTTTTGTGTTTATATTTTATATGTAACTCAGCAGAATTGGGATTCTCTGATATGTACTAGTGCACTGCTAAATTGTGTTTTAAGAAGAGTTTGTAATGATGTTATCAGAGTGTACTTTTTAGAGCTGGAAGCACCTATACATGAAAAAGACACTAGAAGAGGTGAACAGCCCACGTCCTCCCAGCAGCAGGAGGGCACAGGCGGGCTCTGCCTCTTCTGAGAATCCAGGGCTGCCGCCCCGGGAGTGCAGACCAGCATGGGCTCCACCTTCATGATGCTCTGGGTGGGCTGTTTTAAACCAATCTTTCCTCATTTTAGTGTCCCCCCGTGCACTGAAATACAGACCCTTGCAGTCCCGTCTTGTCTTGTTGGTAGTCGATTCGCTCCTCTGCCCACTCATCCCTGCAGAGCCTTCTGCCTCTTCCTGGAGCTCACATATCCCTGAGATCTAGATAGGCAGTGGTTCTCAACCTTCCTAATGCTGCGACCCTTTAATACAGTTCCTCATATTGTGGTGACCCCCAACCATAAAATTATTTTCGTTGCTACTTCATAACTGTAATTTTGCTACTGTTATGAATCATAATGTAAACATCTGATATGCAGGATGTATTTTCTTTGGTACAAATTGAACATAATTAAAGCATAGTGATTAATCACAAAAACAATATGTAATTATATATGTGTTTTCCGATGGTCTTAGGCGACCCCTGTGAAAGGGTCGTTTGACCCCCAAAGGGGTCGCGACCCACAGGTTGAGAACTGCTGTAGATAGGGATTGGGAGGGCTTGAATTTCAAAAACCTGAATTAAAGTCCTCCTTTGCAATGGAGCGTCTTGCCCTGAGACTGCCCAGGGACAAAGGTCAGAAGGCAGAGGCTGTCTTTTTTGGAGGAATTCCTCCATTTACACAGAGAGCTGCAAGAGCGAGAGGAAGCGGGAGGAAAGGGGCCCGGCCTTTTCTCCTGGTTCCTGGCACAGGCGCCTCTCCTGCAGCCCGGGGCGTGGTCAGCAGAGTGGACGGAGGAGTGTGTATGGGGCAGAGAGGGGTCTTCACTGAATTCTGAGCTACAGGAGGACCACGGAGCTGTTCCATCTTGGATGCCTTTTATTCTTTAGTTAGGTATACTCAGATTTAAGAGGCAATAGCCAGGGACCCAGACCTTCAGCTCTTGGACCCTCATGGGAGATGGGGGTGAGGGGGCTGCTCTCTCACTTCTGTCTATAGGGCCTTCCCACTGGGTCCTCTGGGCCTCCCTGTCTTGGCAAATGGCCCCTCTCTGGGCAGCAGTTCATCCTGCTATATATTTAAAAATCTAACCATCACTCTTGCTTATCATTATCTTAAAAAGTGCATAGATGCGAACTTCCACAATATTATTAGGCTACGTATGGACAAGTATGAATAACTTCGTGCTCCTAACACTCACACAGTCTTTCTACACTCATAGGAAACAATACCTGCACAGCACTCCCCAACCAGGCGGAGGGAGGTCTTACAACACAGTGCAGGGCAGTTGTGGAAAGGAGGCACACCTTCAGCTCATTGAGAATTTCCCCCCAAGCCCTCCCCCACCCCACACACTGCCTCCCCCAGGCTCTCCCAATGCTGAAGTGGACAGAGGCAGCCACAAAGAACTGGACCAATATGAGCTCTGAACTCTGGAATGACTCCCTTTTCCTTTAGCCTGGCTGCTCAGCAAATGAACAGACTTCACTCCTATGTGTTTGTTTGTTTTTTTTTAAAAAAAGGCTGCCTTAAAATATGCCCCCACCCTCCGAAGACAGCGGCCGAGTCCGCAGAAGTGCGTGGGATGCGTGCACATCTGCATAACTTCTCAGAGGATTGCCCACAGGACGCAGCCCGCCTGCCGGAGTTAATTAACTAGAGCACCTGATGGATAAATAGTCCCCAAACAGCACTTCATAAACTTCAACCGTTCCGTAATGTTCTTGATTGTTGAGGCATGGCAAAATAAGAACTTACAGAGGGGAGGAAACAGCAACGGGGAGAGATTACAAAGATGCATAAGAATACTGGAGGCATGGAGACAGCCCCAGGCCGCTGCTTTGCGGAGAGATCCAGTTCTGGCTCTAATGGCTCCGCAGATGTTTGCTTCTGCCGAGGGACGCGATCCCGTCGAACATTCGCTTTTGCTGGTCCTCAGTTTCCCTGTCTGTGAAGTGGATGACTGCGTTTGTCCTACCCCGTGTCTCCTTTCTCACACCCCGTTGGAGGCCCGCCCCCCCCCCCCCACCATGTTCACAGAGATCCCTCTGGGCATCAGGGTCCCCTGCCTGGGACAGGAGCAGTGTTATCCTAGTGGCTTTTATTTGCAGTGTGGCACTCTCAGAGACGCACAGAAGAGACTCAAATGGAAACGTGCATGCAGACTGGAAAACAAGTCTGTAGAGCTATACACACAGCCCTCTCCGCCACCCCACGCACAGTCACCGACTTGTGCAACCATATAAGTGCATGAACAGACGGGGGACCATTTCCACAGCCACACTATGAGTCTCACAGACCCACGCTCACTCGTGGATACTCTGTCATCGTTTCCCACTGCAAGGTTACATATCCAGCCAGCCTCGACTTCCCCCATGCCCTCAGCCCGACCTTTGCTAGAGGTCATGACTGTGGAATACAAGACTCCAAACGCACGCGGATGGCGGCGCTGTGCCAGGGTGGGACACTGGGAATAGTCAGTCCTGCTCTGGAGAGGCTCACATCTGGTAGCAGATGGAGATGCACACAGTCACAGGCCCGTGTGGTGGTGCTGCTGCAGAAGCGAGTTCAGGAGCTGGCTCCGCTTTTGTCCTCCTGAACCCTGGAAGGGGGCCATTCTCCTCCTTCCATCCGAGGACACAGTGCAGGCTCAGGCACCTGCTCGGCGCTGGTGGAGCGAGCCACGCTGTCTCTGTGGGGTCGGCTCTATAGTTCCAGTCCTCGGATCCTGCCCTGTAAGTCAGCTTCTCCTCAGGTGTGTCTGCTGGTAGCTGTTGAGGGAGGGGGTAGTGAGGCTGAGGAGGAACAGGAGCACGGCCATGCTGAACCCATCCGGGAAGGAGCGCTGAGTGAAGAGGCAGGAGGAGTGGGCAGCAATGGCCACAAACTGACTCTTGGGGAAGAGAAAGCATAAGGACAGAGATGGGAGAGAGGGGAGGGCAGTTGCCACCCCTCTGTCTACCAGCAAGGGAAGGCCTCCTGCAGTTCAGTCTTCCTCTTCAGAAGGTAAGCTCGATGAAGCCTGCTCCCATTTTCCCCTAAGCCGATGATGTCTCAACCCATCCCAGGCCCCCTGAGGGACATCTCGGATGTCACTGCCATCTGGCTATGATGGTCCCCAAACCACAGGGCACCCAGGCACCTGGACAGTGGATCAGTGATCACAGGCTCACAGGATAGAAGTGCTCCAAGGCCATTTAGCCCAGCCCCTCGTTTTATGAATGATGAGACTAAGGTCTCAAGCATGGAAAGCATTTGCTCTAGGTTCCACCTTCTGTCAGGGAGTTAGGGTTGTTCTAGAATCTGATGAGATGTTTACTGAGTCCCTGGAAAATTGGGAGACTAAGTCCCAGTGATGGGAAGGGCTAGTTCATGGTCTGACACCAAGTTACTGGTGCAGCCAAGAGTAGGACCAGGCTCAGCCAAAGGCCCTGGAGCCAAAGGGGTCTTCTCCGCAGCTGTAGGAGGGTAAGAAGGCACATCCACCACAGCTAGAACTGCATGCTGGGCCTGACAGGCCAGTCCATAGTACAGGCACATGCAGGCATGGACCAATGAAGTCAGCTTCCTGACAAGAGGAGGCCGAAGAGTTGGGCGAGGAGATCGAGGGGAGTAGGTGGAGCTGAGCATAGCTGTGCTTTGCGTTTTCTCTTTCACGTTTCAGTCCTCCATCCTGCAGACAGCACCTCTGCATGTCCCGCAGAGAAAATCCTTGGGGAGGCCCATCCTGAGGTCTGGCGTGAGTGATCTGAGGTCATGACCCTGGTGGGGCTAACAGGATGCTACATGAGAGTGCGTGTAACCCCTCTGCACTCCCCGATGGCGTTAAGCACCTCCCATGGTCTCTGCACCAGGAAAGGGGAGCCAGGAGGCTTGGGGAGCAACAGGGATAAAAGGAGAGCAGAGGCCTGGGCTCATGGCCACAGGAAAGGGGACCTTGGAGGATGCACACCTCCCACCATGGAGACTCAGCCCAGCAGAGAGAGGCTGCCTCACAAGGGCCTGGGCAGGGCTGCCTCAGTAGTGTCATGTATCTTGACCACCTAGCATGCATTTGACTCCAGCTCCCCAGTTGATTAGTATGGTTCAATGGTGGTTGACATGCAGGATGGTGATCTGTTCTGGCTTCTTTTGGAACATAAGGAAGACCTAGAGAGGAAGAAAAGATGGTGTCAACTGTGGGAGCCTTTTCTCTCCTGACTCTCCTTGGGGGCCTCAACTACCAAGGGTTCTGCCTATTTTATTGAAAGGGAGGCTAAGACCCAAGGGAAGAAACACCAAACACCTGCACAGCACCTACTACGTGCAAGGTACTTTGTGTGCATAAAAATCATATAAACACTTATAGTATTATTATATGATTTCTACTTACCTCCATTTTACAGATGGGAAAACTGAGGCAGAGAGTGATTAAGTAACTTGCCCAAAGTTATACAACTAATAGTTGTCCAAGCTGGGATTTGAACGCAGTCTGACTTGAGAGACTGGGATCTTTCCAATATCCTATCCCACGTCCCAGACACTAGGGAGACTGGGCAGCTCGGTGACTAGGGAACTGGGTGTTGAATACCCACACAGCCATAAAACAAATTCCCAGTTTCTCTGCTCAGACTCATTTTGGTGAGAGATTGATAAGAGCCCCCTTTCTTTCCTCACTGCCCCAAACTCATGACCTCGCCCCACACCACTCAATCCTGTGTGCCTTCTGGACTCACAAGCAGGGTTTCTTCTCTTTAACGCTCGAGGATGGCTTTTGCTGTTGGATGATCCTTACCACATGATACCAATTTTTAAATTTTTTTAAATTTTCATTTAATCTGGGCCCAGTTGCTAATGGGGGAAAATGCCTACCTCTGCAGGTGCATGAATGAAGAGTGGGACCAGTGGGAGCCTGTGGGGTGCGACGGCACACCGGTGAGTGCCCTTCCTCTGCCAGGGAGTAGTGGGACCACGGTTTGCTCTGACATCAGCCTCAGGGCAGCCACCTGAGCAAACCCCGAGACCATCCAACACTTTCCTCCAGCGCCCACGCAGGACGCTCCATGTACACCACCCACCCCAGACCCAGCTGACAGAGATAACCCAGCGCCTGAGGAACCAGGCACTTACCATGTCAAGCAATCAAAGGCCTTTGAGAAGAAACACTACCAGCACACGCTTGCCATCTGCTGGTTAGAAGTGGGACGTGCAGCCAGACCTTTCTGTCATGCTGGGGGCACAGCTTCCTCCTGGCTTCAGCCCCAATCCTCACTGTTCCTCTGTGCTGCCTGCTCCCACAGTGCCCACCTGTCCGCAGGAAGACACCTGTTAGCATAGGAAAGAGGGAGATGGGACTGGGAGTGATAACATAAGGACTCTCCAAATGTGTCCCGGGCCACAGACATGGATTCTAAGGAGTACAAGGATCACCTGGGATTTTGTTTGTTGAAAAGCACATTCTTAATCAGAGTGCTGGGGCTGGCACATGAGATTCTGCATTTCAACAAGCCCCAGGTGATGCTGATGCTGCTGGTCCGTGGACCAGACGTTAGCCCATCGCTCAGCATCCCCGATTCAGCCTCCAAATCACTACCAGGTAACTTGTCAAGCCTCAGCTAGATTGTTTTTCTTCTTTTTCTTTCTTCCAGGAAATCTTTTGTTCTACTTCCATTTGAAACAGAGAACAGCTAAAAACAATGAAATATCTACTGCTTAGCCCATATTCAGTGTGTGCCAGGCCCAGGACTAAACACTCTCATACATTATCTAATTCAATCTTCCTTTATTTCCTTTTATAAAGTAGGTGTTATTACCCCCACTTTATAGATAAGAACATTGAGGCCATAACATGTAAATAGGCGACTCATGGTTGCGCAGCTGTAACTGGCGGAGCTGAGATTCAAGTGGAGGTCTTCTGAGCCTGCGCTGACCCAGTTGGTTCACTCCCACTTGCAGCCATACTCTCAGGCCAAGTGCAGCCCACCGGCTGGCAGAAGTAGCTTTAGTTAGCCAGGAGCAAGGTGGCCACAAACTGGGAGGAAGAGGAAAGGAAAAGACCAGGTCATAAAGCCTGCTCCCGGTGTGGTGAGACCTGACTGGTCAGGACTGGGGGCGGTACTAGCCCACCAGCCATCCCTCCTCTGCCTCAGGATACTTGGTGAGTGATTGCTCATCAGATCAACTCCATGGAGCAGCCAGATCAGAGGCTGGGACTTGCATACATCTTGCTGGGCTCCAACTTTCTTTTAATGTGGGCAAACCCACACTAGGCACCTGCTGTGTGCAAGACTCTAAGCTGGGTGTTGAAGTACTGGAGGGGACACAGAGCTGTACACACATCAGCCCTGCCTCCAGGGAGCTCACAGCCTCACTGATGGTGTGGGAAACATACCTCCCCTTTAAGGTTGGGGCTAGAAGAGCAGTAGGAAGCAGGAGTTCCAGAAGTTGGTATTGAACTAGAGAATGGGGTGGCCTTGGGCAAACGAAGGAGAGGGGAGGAAGCCTCCTGCCAGGAGAAGACTGCATGGTGCCTGGACACCCCTCCCCCCTCAACTCACCAGGGGCTAGGGGCCAGCGAGGGAGCAGTGGGCCTGCAATTGGCCTGCAATCGGGGCTCCTACTATGGGACGGGCAGCCACAGAAGAAGAGAGAGAAGAATTGAGAGAAAAGAATTGGTAACAAGGGGTCTTGAAGGCTATTTTAAGGAGCTTGAATTTTATCACTTATTTATTCATTTGACAATGATGTGTCAAAGGGTTACTAAGCACGTTATGCTAGATGCTATTCTGAGCAGGAGCCACCTCACTAAAACAAAACAGACAAAAGTCCTTACCTCCAGGGACTCTGCATTCCAGTCCTGTAGGCAAAGGGAGCTACAAAGGACTTCTGAGCAAGAAGCTGACCTAGGCACCTGCAGATTTTCGGAGCATTGTGGTGGCTGCAATTTGTCACCAGAATTAAGTGACAAGTACTCTAAAGGCATGCCTCAAAAGTTATCTGTACCTACCACATGGTACCACACATATGCTGGGCTTATCTTTAAAAATATAAGACATGGCCCTGCCTTTGAAGAACTTGTAGTTTGGAGGGCAGGCAGACAAATATGCAAATCACAAGACAGGGGGAGTGCTGGTTGTTGCTTAACAGGCTTTCAGGTTGGGTGAGGGGGCTGATTTGTATTGTTTGCCAATCCCTATGGTGTAAATCAGTGGTTCTCAATCTGTGAGTTGCGACCCCCTTTGCGGTCGAACGACCCTTTCACAGGGGTCGCCTAAGACCATCCTGCATATCAGATATTTACATTACGATTCATAACAGTAGCAACATTACTGTTACGAAGTAGCAACGAAAATAATTTTATGGTTGGGTCACAACATGAGGAACTGTATTTAAAGGGCCAGAAGGTTGAGAACCACTGGTGTAAATCCTCCCTCTGTGGCTGATTTCAAGCTACGGAGGGGAAGTTACTGAAGTTGGAAGATGATACAGTCAGTGCTCACCAGTTGGTGGAGCCCGCCCAGTCCACCTCGGAGACTAGAGGCGAAAACCCAAGAAAGAAAGACATAACCTGGACTTGAGAGTCAGGGAAGTTTCATGAGAGGCGACGATGGCCTGAGTCTGCATGCATTTGTCAGAGCACCGGGGAGAAGAGCAGGTGTGGCAGAAAATAGCCATTTGCCAAGGCCCAGGGCCCGAGCAGCTCGGCTACAAGGCAGGTGAGCAGGGCTGCTGGGGGAGTGGAGGGAGGCAAGGCTGGCAAAGACGGCTGAGCCCAGGACTGTGGAAGGTCTCACAGGCCCATCAGAGGCGCTCACCTCAGCCCCTGCCGCCAGGAAGCAGCCAGAGGGCCCAGGCAGAGGCCGATCGCTTTGGGGAGGGTGGGTCTGTCAGCAGTGTGGAGGGTGGACTGAGGGTGAGGTATAGGAAGGAAGGCAGCCCAGCCCATGAGGGAGAGAAGAGGAAAGACGTGCATGGTCAGCACCTGCTTCTTCAGGCCGGACCCCTCGCCTCCTCCCTGCTCGCACCGCACCGAGGCAGGAGGGAATGCAGGCAAGAGTGCGAGCCCAGGGCACCTGGCCAGCTGCTAAGTTGCTTAACCCCTCAGCGCCTCCTGACAGTGCTGCCGGGAGAATTAGGGGAGTCGATGCTCATAACAAGCTGAGAGCAGTGCCTCGCCATTATAAAAAAAAAAATACACACTCCAAAACGTCCGTTAGGTGAGCACTTTCTCTGAAAAGCTTTTCCTGGCACCAGCACTGCAACTCTGGGCCTGGAGCCTGGCGCGCTGCCCTCCTGCGGGCCCCTGGAGCATACTTCATCGCCCTGCCCACACTGCCTTGTAATTGCCCGTTTCCTCATCTGCTTCCCCTCCTAGACCCGAGCCCCTGGAGGGCGGGTGCGCCTTGTCCAGCGGTGGTTCTGTGCGTCCTAGCACAGCCCGGCCCAAAGCGCTGCCCCGTGCTCGTTGCTCCGGGACAATTTGCCAAGAGCAAGGCGTGTGGGAGGAGCACTGGCTACGGGGACAGAGGTTAACAGAGCCCAGGAAGAAACAGGAGGTGGAGACGTTTCTTTTAGGTGTGAGGGGGGCTGATGAGTTCTGATCTTGCTTGTCACTTAAGGAAAAGGAAGTGGGAGCTAGTAACAGGGATTCTCTACAGGGAGACAGCGGAGCTCTGGCACGTGTCCCCATCAAGGCTTTCTGCAGAGCAGGGTCATAGTTTTATTTATCCCTGGGGCACCCCAAAAAGAAAGAGACCCTAGAACTCTGCAGGGTGCCCACCAGTCTTGCCTCATAGAATATGTCCCCTGAGAGAACCACCAGGCCGCGGTCATAGGCAGCGAGGGATCCCGCTGGCCTCAGAGGCTCCCACTGGGACATGGTGTGAGGGCCTGCCACCATCAGGAGAAGACGGAAGGAGGAGGGTGGCAGGGAGGGACGAGTACCAGGAACCAGGAATCAGTCTTCGGGTCTAGAAGAGCAAAGGGCAAGAGCAGTCAGTGGGGCTGGTCACCATGCCCCTGCCCCCAGCCCTCCCCCGCAGCTCCAGCTCTGTTCCTCAGAATGACCACCATGAGGTCAGATAAGCAAGCAAGAGCTCCCGTCGGTCAGACCACAACATCTCCTGCATTTTCTCAGGCCCAGGAGTGCTTGTTGCAGAGCTTTGCCAGGTTGGATACTGGCCCTGTGGGCACCATAAGTAAAAGCAGGGCTCGTGTCTCATCCAAAACCTCCTACTCTTCCCTTCTCCCAACGTGGCCAGTTGAGGGTTTCCAGTCCCCCCGCCCATGACCACCAGCTTCGGGCCTCCCACTGCCCCTGCCTTTGGACACTGGATGGCCGCCTGCGGGGCACCTTTGGGGAGACTCCACTGGCCATGACTCTGCTCCGTCCTCACTTCCGCTGCTGTTCCACGTGGGCTCTCCAGCCCCTGCAGTGCCCCCGATGTAGGGCCCAGGGCCGTGGATATTGTGCGGTGCCCCCCCCACTTCACACCCCTCCCCATGCAGGGCCCACGGCCGTGGATATTGTGCAGCAGGGAGGGGGGTGCAGAGAGCACAGAGCTCCTGGTTCCCTCTCTCTGGCTCTCTGGGGCCCTGGCTGCCCCGCCTCTCACTGAGCCCCACCACACGCAGTCCCCCAGAGCGGAACTTACCCCCTGCTTCTCCTGCGCTCCTCCCAGCAGTGACTGATTCCGCTCCAGCTGCTTGGTGTGTTGGGGCTGGTGGTGCATCCCAGCGGCAGGTGCTCTGGGCTCCAGGCTGTTGGTGTGACTCCAGGCGGCCCCGCCCTCTCGAAGCTTTCTACTCCTGTGCTCTGGTCATTAGATGGCCCGCAGCCCCAGCCCTGCACACACACTTACACACGCTCACACTTACACCCGCACAGGGAACCCAGAGCTGGGGCTGCCATCCGGGGCTGCAGGGCACCCTGCCATCCTCACAGCCCCGGGAGGGAGGGCACAGAGGCAGCCCTGGGGGGTGGAGAAAACGCAGAGGGCAAAGGATAACGGTGGCGGTTCCGGAGAGTGTGGGTAGAAAGTCAGGAATGGTCAGTACCCACAGGGAGGCAGACTGCCACTCCCCACTTAGCATCCTCTGACCTGTGCCCCCACCCGTCCTCCTCAGTGAAGGCGGCCCTCTCGGAGAGCAGGAAGCCCGGGGACACCACACCTCAGGCCTCCACCAGGGCAGGCCACTGCTCTCCTCTCAGGTTCAAGTCTTCCTCCCTCTGTTCCCTTCCCCACACGGCGAAGGACAAGCATATCCTTTGCGCCTGCTGGGTCCTCTCACTCCCTAGCCCTCTACTCACCAACAGAGCACTGGGAAGTGGAGTTCCACCCACCTCTACCACCTGTGCCTAACGAGAAGCAATGAAACTGGCTGTTTGTCCAAGTGACCTCAGGCACACCTTTTCTCTCCTTAGCGAAACAGGGAGAGAACCAGGTTTAAAAGCCGGATTGCTGACTGAAAGGCCGGGCAGCCCTGCCCCAAGGCTCACTCCACAGAGATCCCAGGGAAGCTTCTAGAACCAGCTCTGTAGAATACAGTGCCTCAGTCTCTGCTCTGACAAGACAGTACACGGTGGTCTTGTGAAGGCTGTGGAAATCCACGCCTATGCGAGCCCTGGGTTATTCGTGCTCACAGCCAAGGGGATAAAGAGGCTTGAGGAACTAGAAAGGGCGAGCTTATCCCGCCATGAGGAAGTGACTAGTTACACGCTGGCTGCACACACCTGGTTCCACGCCTACGCTTGCAGGAGCTGCCACAAACCCTCAGGGGGCCCTGCCCTTTGTCTATCCAGGAAAGTTTCCTGGATGGGTCCCTGCTAGAAGATAAGCCCTGTGGCCACTCACATCCATCACATGCCATTTCCTAGAAATCAAGTCAAAACTTTGGCCACCATCATCAGTCTGGTGTGGTCACACTCCCTTCTGCACCCTCCACCTTTCTTGTTTAATGCATCCCACTCGCCCTCCCTCCGCTCCACAGGCACGTCAGAACCTCAGAGGTTAGCCTGTGCGCTTGGTCGTCCAGAGTGCATGGTGAACTCCTGTGGGAAATGACCCACGGCCTTTCACAGGCCGCTGGAGCCCTGGGTGACATCAGAAAGGTGTAAGTATGGGGTGCAGAGGTTGTGGCGGTCACTCTGCTGGCTCATCACCTGCCGAGAGGCTTCACTTGTTGTGGGAGAACCTTGGCCAATGCCCTGATAGGCCCTGAGACCTCGAGAGGCCAGCGTGGGAAGCAGGTGGGATGAACAGAATGGGACTATGAATTTTAGGCAAGACACACCACAGCCTAGTTTTCTTTCTCATACCTGCTGTGAGGGAGGAGTCTGCTTATCACCCGGGAGGCTTCCCCTGTTAAATGCCCCTCGAGTTTTGGATCAGAAAGATTAGGTCAAACAAAGCTTGTCTCCCAGTGTCCTGCAGCTCTAAAATGAGATGGCGACGAGATGTCACTATCGGTTCCTTCTGCCCCGAGCAAAACAAGGAAAGGCATAAAAACCTAACCCTTCCCCAGTTACCCAGCATGTTCACAGAGCCCTGGCTGCCCTCAGCGGAGAGCTAAGCCACTTCTGGGCCTGTGAGGTGAAGAGAGATGCCTACCTGAGGGCGAGGCTGGAAATCCCGTGGGTGAACCCCGGCACTGCCTGAATGGTACACTTACTTACTATAACAAAACAACGGCTGGCCTTGCTGAGTCAGCACCACGTGCCAAACACTGCTCTAAACACCATGTGCCCTCTAACAGACTCACAACCAACCCCACGAGGTGGGTACCATCAACACCCCCTTTTACAAATGAGGAAACTGAGGCACGGAGAGGTTAAGGAACCCTTCCAACATCACACAGTTCCTAAGTAGCAGGGCCACGATTCAAACCCAGGCAGTCTGGTTCCAGAGCCCAAGCACGTACTGTCCCTCAGCCTCTTGCTGTACCAT